TTAATTATGTTAATCTAATAGTGAACAACTTTCATTTTAAATCACCCTTCTCTCCACCCCCAAGTCTTCAGTGAATAGGAGCTACATTCACTGAATAAATCATTCCCTGGCAACAGTTACGCACATTATCGAAGTTGGGCGCAGTGATTTCTGTATGTTTTAAAACAATGTCTATGTATTCTAAATGATGACAGCTCTGTCCAATTTTAAAAAAGATATACACCCGTTAGAGTTTTATAGTTCAGCATTTAGCAGCATCTGCAGTGCCTTTTTTATTCTTACACTGCATCACTTAATGCTTGATACCATTACTCTGATTTTGAATTGTTTTCAAGTATTTGCCATAAACTTTCATATTCTTTACCTAAGTAAGACTCCTCACAGATGCAATCGGTCATAATGCTAAAAGAACAGTTTGCCTTTAGCAGAAATGTAAAAGTTCATGCTAATGACGGTGAAGGAATACTTTGAACAGCAAGCACATTCGCAAAGAGAGGAAAACCATCTCTAAACACAAAGCCTGAAAACCTTAAGAAAGCCTCCAAATGAAATCAATTAATCCTCCAACCATGATAAATTTCTTAACCATTTAAGAAACGTATTTCAGACTCTGCTGTGACCCTTTATCACCAGACCTAATGGATTACTTTATTAATAATGCACTGCTCTTAAAAGGAATTTTTCTGAAGATTCTACCATAAGAGGGCATTTTTGGAATGGCAATGACAAACAGCCTGACATGTTCACATTGTGTCTATTAAAGATAATACAATTTAACACTAACTCCAAAGAAGACAAGTTATGTTCCGCTGCCAGGGTATCAAGCATACTTTCTACTGTATTACACCAAAATTAGAGCAAACTAATTTCCAAGAACCAGCTTCTTCTTTTGCCCTGTTGCCCAAGCTGGAAATGTTCCCACATTGTTTTAACACTTGTTATGTCAACCAGACAACTACCACATGTCACTGGCATCTGGGAACGAAGAACGATGACTTCCCATACAGATGCCTACCCAGACCCTTCAGCTATCTAGTCTGCGCAAACACTAAGGACAATGGAATACTCCTATGCAAAGGAGTTTGCTCCTACTAGGCCTGCTAACTCCTTTCACTCCTCTTCTTCCCACAGGATGAGTTTTCATTAGAGATAGAGGTTATCAGTGTTCCACTGTACCTTCCATTTCTTGAAAAGGTTTAGGCGATTACTTTACTATCTCATGGAGTAAAGCTTCAGGAATATTAGGCAACAAAAAAATTAAATTCCATATCATCTGAGGAAAAACCCACCCTGCCATTTCCCCTCCTCCCTGCATGATTCTTCAATAGGTATACCTGAGAGAGGTATGTCAAAAAGACAACAAAAGATACCAGCAGCACAGAGAACAGCTCTTCTTCCTATATAGCAGTATTTATATTAGGTTTGTGTACAACCTGTACCAGCCTTATTTTTATGCATATAATGATTTTTATCAACAGAAGAGGATTGTCATGACCTTACTTGCTGGAGGTAGACCTCTCTTCATATCCATCTACCTACCTATAGGTACGCCCCTATGGCAGCTGGCATACTCGTTTGTGAAGTCAGCCCCTGGCCAGGGTGCTGTGGCACCATTCTTGTAACTGCCATTATACAACCAATTTCTCTGCTTTTCTAATTCCAAATGCTGCTTTTCTTTCCTTCTGTGCGGGGTAAGATGGGCTCTTACACAACAGGGAACCCAACTGCTGCTACTAATCCAGTTTCAAATTACCTAATATTCATTGCCCTATATACCTCCCATCAACCTAAGACCCATTCTCCAGCCCCAACGCATGCAACCACTGAGTATCCACATTTTTGTTTTCATTTTTAAAGAAACTATGGATTTTTTAAAAAATAAAAATCAAGGTTTCTGTACCAGTACACGTTTAACGGAGTCCTCCAGTATATTATTTACTCAGCCTACTCTTGCGATCTATTTAATCAGAGTTCTGCTTGAAAATACAAAGGATCCCTGATTTGGGGTGCTACTGTCTATGCAAACACCAGGACAAACACACAGCTGATCAGTGTTTTTACAAGTGCACACACACTCAATAATTGGGTTGGAGGATGCTATGTCTAGTTAACATGGTACAAGTTAGCTAAAAAGAAACTTTCACCCCCCACACGCATAACAAAGAGCCGTGATTTCTATTAGTGCATTTCATACCATACATGCTGATTACCAGGCTGTGCTTCATTGTTAGCAGAGATTACAGCTGGGATAAGCTGCAGCTTTTTCCTAATTGCTATTATGATGACTGAATTTTTGTTTTGTGTCAAGCATTATTCACACATTATACTCCAAAATTTGATCCCTCCATGATGCATTATTGATTCCATGCAGGCAATCATACTGCCGCCAATGTGAAGAATTAATTTGGGCTATTCTGCTTGATTTGCATTGCTCCATCATAGCAGAAAATAGTTCTATAGGGAAACACCAAATTGAATAGAAGACTTAACAAAATATGGAAAATGCTGCTGTCCTTTAAAAGACATGAGTCTTAAAGAAGGGAAAAAAACCCCAGAAAAAACCCCAAACCCAGCACAACACGTGTGGTCCAGAAAGAAATAAGGTCAGTCAGCCAAATTCATCTTAGTCAGAGGAAGGTGACAAGAGTAGCCTTATGCCTCTAATAAAGTAAACTAGCTTGCTTCTACTTATATTGCCAAAGAAAACAACCGAACACCTCTGAGAGTGACACTGCTTCAAAGCCTTTGAAACCCTGTTAGCTTCATTTGTTTTCCCAGCATAAGCAATACTCAACCACTTAGTGTGTCTTTTATCCACAGTCCAGTCAACTGCAAAGCTGATCTAGAAGATGTGTAACAGATGCTTCACATCTACTCCTTTTTTTTAAAGTTCTACTGTGTTAACAAAGAAACTTATGAGATCTCAACAGAAATAAAGCCCAGGACTGATTTTATTTTTTCCCTGAATAAGATTATTTCACAGTTTTAGGATGCCAACTTAATTAGTGTAGAATAAATTCAGAAGGGCAAGACAACTTATACGTGTGCACTGATTCCACGCTGGTCAGCTCTGCCAAAATTTGTTCAAATCTGCATATGGATGGGCACCAATAATGAAGCATTTCTCCTTGGTCTCATATTTGAAAGGTGTAAAATCTCTGTGAAAAGTCCATTCACATTTTTTCATTGTCCCAAGTGCTTCTCATCAGAAGGAAACAAAACATCACATCCCATCACAGAAATGATTCAAATTCTACGCACATGAATACACCAGATTGATGATTTTTAGAAATCAAATTTATAATGAGATAAAGACCTCAAAATGCTAGATGTAAAGTACTGGGTAGTATTCCCCCCTCACCCTTTTTTTGGTAGACAAGGAGCGGGGAGAGAGAGAGAGAAGAGAAACTTCAGTAGAAGACCTTTGGTTAAAAGTGAGCATCCATCCACTATTTTCAATAGTCAAGCCTTCTTTCCTCATGATTCTCCAGTACAGTACTAATTCAGTTTTAAAATACCAGAAGACAGATATGGGGCGGGGAACAAAAATCACGGTGCTACAACTTATTAGCATTGGGCAGCTTTCAGTACTGTTCACAATACATGATTAGCACCCCTCTGACACAGAAAAGCAAGTGACTTTGAATTACAAGTTATTTTTCTTATAAATATAATAAAAAGCAATGCATATATTCAAGTAAAAATCAATGCTACTGCCAAAACGCTCAACTTCCAATTTCTCCAAGCTCTTTGGCTCCCTGTGAAAAGCTGTTTCCTGTCTACAGCCTTGCAAATATTCAGTAATTTCTTCTATTTCTAAATGACAACTGCCTGTGGCTTTTTTTTAACACTTAAAGAGATTTCTGAAAAAAAATTTAAAAGATCAGAGAATCCAGCAACATACCCATTACACGGCACACTTCATCCATTTACAAAAGTGAATGAAACAATAACATAATAGCTAGAAATGTGCGTTAAAAGTTAAGATGCAGTTCTCACTTTCAGTACACAAAGTGCCGCCAAGGTGGAAGTCTTTGGCAAGAGGCAGCGCCATCGATGGAAGTCCATCCGGATGGCTACAGAAGCGTTCTGCTCTGCCTCGGTTTTAATCTTTGCTTTCAGTGTACAATCTATGAGGGAAGACCTAAGCCACAAAGCAGCCTTAGAAAGACTCATTAAAAAGTTGTGATTGGACTTAACCACATTTGCCCTAGAAACTACTGGTGACTGAGCAGTTAAGTGGCATGCCCTGGGAGGCAACATGCAAAAGAAGGCATCTGGTCATTCAAACTACTAACACTGTCTATTGTTCTTTACATCAATTCATACCCCTTAGTCATCCTTGACAAGGTCTAGTCAGCTTTAAAAAAATAAGTATATGTGAAGTCCTAAAATAAGTCAAGCTCTCCTTCAGGTTCATTCATTCAGTTACCTCCCAAATGAACCTACACTTCTGCCATTTAGAGAAGGGAGTAAATTCTTAGAATAAGCCGATGCTTTTTTGCCAGAGCAGCTTATTAGCTTATTGTCATTATGTTTATAGCTATGAAGAAAAGCTGCTGGAAATAGATATTAAAGGCGCACATTAAAGAGACCCAAATGACACGCAATGGAAAGGAAAGAAAATCTCAAAATTAGATTTACAATAAAAGCTGTTAAAATAAACAGGCTAAAATGGATATATTAGAGCAACTTGTAGAAACAAATATCTAAATAGATATTAAAAAAACAAAATCAAGATGTTTCTGCTATGTCCTTCAGCAAACAGAGCCTGGGGTAAACCCTTCTTAACTGGTTTGATCATGCCAGAGCAGAGATTAAAAAAAAAAAAAAAAATCAAGAGCAAGCATGCTTTTACCAACACAAGAGAAAAATATCAGAAGCTGAAAGCGAAGCACTCTGATATGCACAGCGCGCATCTGTTTCAAAACTATTTATTTGTACGTTAGCAGCACACAGAAGACAGCAAGCACAGGTTTACACAATCTCAGCCCACCTACCGTCCTCCTTGTCCAGCACCATCATCTCCGCAATCAAGAAAAGTCCGGGGACAGATGCTTCTTCTCCAGCAGCCTCCGCTCAGGGGAGAAGAGAACAAGTCTCTGGGAACACAAATGAGCTACGGTACAGCTGATCGTCCTTTAGCAGCAAGTGAGCTCTAATTACCCAGTTGTCCAGCTTTTAACCTAGATTGCACTCAGTTAGAATTACACTCAGAAATAAAGCACTTTGCAGATACAAAAGCAGTCTCACCTACTTTTGTGCCTCAGAATTGCAAGGAACTAAAACTGCAATTTAGCAAGAAGGGGGATCAGAGCTGTTTCTTTGGTTCTCACCTTCTAAATGGCTCAATTTACACAGTATAATCTATTTTAATGTAATTGCATTTGATAGCTCATAACCCCGGCTGTTGCAACGACACAGCTTTCAACCTTGTAAAGTGTTTTCCCCTTGGATTTCAGCTGAATCTAAATCTCAAATTCTGTTCCGGGAGGGCAGAACACCTTCT